GTAAGGAATGAAAGTAGAGAAACGTGCTCGGGTTGGACCATCACTGCCAACACAAAGACGAGCACGAGCTGCAGCGAAGGGTTCGAGGTTGTTCTGAAGGAGATCGTTGTTTATTTTAAAATGACGAACTTCCTGACAATTTAAAACAAAGAGATTATAACTCTGATTCTGAGCGATCACTGCACCCGGCGCCTGATTCTACTGAACAGAGTAAAGGCCGAGAGGTCCCTGAAGGAATGCTTGTCGCCCGCAACTTTCCAGGCCAGAGTTTGGGACGACTCTCAGCTACTACCACTCCAAGTTTTAGCTCAGTTTCTGTGAAACTGACCGAGTTGTGTTCGTTAAGGTCGGCTGGCTGTGGCAGCCATTTTTATTATTATAATTTCTAACAGACAAATAAAAAAAGACACGTACAGAAACAACAACAATCGCCTTTTTATTTTTAGATGGAGCGGAGGCAGTCTGGAGAAAGTGGGCCTGTGATCAGAAGATCACTGGTTCAACTCCCGATACTGACAACATCAAAAAGTGGGTGGGATAGGTGAGGCACCTGCCTCCACCCTCAATTTGCTCCACTCTGGGCCCTTGAGCAAGGCCCTTAACCCCCACCCTCTGCTCCCCCGGGCGCCCTAGATAGCAGCTCTCTGCTCCACACAGAGGGCTGTGGTAGCTCGGTGTCTGTGGTTGCGTCAGGAAGAACAAGTCTTCGTGCGACTTAGTTCACTGTGGCGACCCCTGAAGAAGGAGCAGCCGAAAGAAGAAGAAAAAAAAAAAAAAAGCTTTTGATTCAGTGAATCATCAGAGGCTTCTAAAATAATTTAATACATTTTTTTCTCATTTATTCCATTTATGACCTTTAAAATAGAGTTTCTCAAACTTTACAGGATGAAATCAACCTTTTTTAAAAACGGAGTTCCACAAGGATCTATTTTAAGAACAACACTTTTCTGTCTGTTCATTAATGATTAAGTTACAAGGTTTAAAGGTCTTCCACGCCAAATGTATGCAAGTCACGTTTATCACCCCACAAAGAGCGGGTGATAATGTAAAACCCTGTGTCCACATCTGTCTGTTAGAAAAATATCTGTAGAACCACCGGCAACTTGAATCTTGCAAAAAATACTGACTGGATGTGCATCTACAACTGATTCAAGATTAAACTTAATACAATATGGCCACCATAGCAAGTCAAAACAAAACTGGCTAAAGCTTCAATTTTACTCACAGTTAGCTAAAATTTCGTGTCGAGGTAGCTGAGAGTCATCCCCAACACCTATTCTGAGCACTAACAGCTTTGCTTGAACTTTTGCCATTAACTATCTGGAGAACACGCTGTCTGTTAGTAAAATATCTCATGAACTACTGAATGGATTTTAATGAAGCTTTCAGGAAATAATTATTAGATGTACCTTAATAACAATTCAACTTTTGGAGTCAATCCAATAAAAATGGCCGCCACAGCTAACTTAACCCAGAAACACACAAAAAAAACCCCGCAATAATTTAGTCAGTTTTAGGATATTGAGCTAAACTTCGGTGTGGTAGTAGCTGAGACTGGCCTGCAGTTTATAATCCGAGGGCGAACAAATGGGACATAACTGCAGCGTTTGTCCTCGTGTTTTCACCTTTCACACGGATCCTAACGACTTCCTGCCGGCTGCAGGAGCAGCGGCCTCCCTGCACCGTACGTTCATACGCCTGTCAGGCGAGACGCTCCTGGCAGCGGGACGCCGGTGACGGCACCACAGATGTGCTGAGGGAGGAGGAGACTTTCCCATGCCGTGAGGTTTCTCTGTGGAATGTGTGACGGCTCGTTGAGCCAGGAAAACACTCGGAGGAGATTTATTTATGACATTCGGCGAGTAAACAGTCAGCACCTGACTCCGTGAAACGCCCGAAGGAGGCTCAGTTTATACGAAACAAAGGTCTGATTTAGAGCGAGACACATGACGGAGCGTTTCTCTCGGCTGCTGCTGCTCTCCTGCTTTTATTGTTCTGCAGGTTTTACAATCCAGCTGCTCCTGCACACTTTCTGCTTTTAGCTGTTCATGTATCAAAACGTTCGGCTCATTCTGTGATTGTTTTTATTTACATTTACGCTTTTCAAAATATGTAACTTTATTTACAAAACATTCCCCAGAGCAAACCATGGAGACGTTTTTCTTTTTAACATCTGTTTTTAACATCTTGTGCTGATTTTACTGCATTTCAATGTCTTTTTGCTACTTTTAGTCTTCGGCTCGTGATTTGCTACTTTTAGTCTTCGGCTCGTGATTTGCTACTTTTAGTCTTC